CTTTTTAGTCTCGTCTCATGATATTATCTCTCTGGAGATGGTTAGTAAGTAAAAACATATAGTGACAGTCAAAACAAGTGTTCTTGCCTCTATATTTTAAAGTGAATAATTTAGTTAATATCATGCAATATGGGCAAGCTAACTTATCTACAGTGCTCCAACCTAATAGCGTATCATATATGGGAAAGTCAGAACTTGCATGTAACAACAGGATATTCTAAATATAAATTTAAAAATGAAAACTTTAATTTTTATTTAAATAGGAGTGTCGCAGCGCTAGGCCTATGTGTGCCTTGGCGCCAGAAGTTACCAACGCTACATTGAAGACTCTATTTTATAATAATTATATATTCAGCATAGAGTGCTAGAACGCTGAAGCAATGGGTTGGAGCATTGCAGTGCTAGACCAGCAATAGTATTTTTTTATATATTAAAAACTTATTTCTCTCCAATTGCCTTCCTCACCCTCAACCAGTGTTTGCTTGTTGTGGAAAGAAGAAGAAAAGGGGACAGAAAAAAGAGGAGTGAGAAAGAGAAAGCCAAATTTTGGTTATCGATTCGCTTCACCGCTTTTACAAAAATTGGTCATAGTAGGTAACTTATATCATATTTCTATTTTCAAATATTTAGATTTCGACTTTTGGATTCCTTCCAAATTAATTTTAATATATTTTCTTAAATTTAGTGAACTTCCACCGCATATCCTTTTATATGTTGTAGAACTGATTATTCTAGATATTTTGACTAAATAAAAAATAAAAAAATAAAAAAAATATATACAAAGCCAATGATTACTAATTACTGACTTACTAACTACTAAAAAAATATCACACAAGTTAGAACTCTTTGTTTAGTATTATTACTATAATGAATGTTATTATATTAATTTATTATAATTACATTACTTTCAGTGTACTATTTTACTATTTTATTAATTATTATTACTATATTGATTTATTATCACCATAATATTTTTCTATTATCGCTACAAATTTTATTGATATTGATATTATTACTGACTTTGTTATTGATTCACTATTATTATTATTGTCATTGATTCACTATTTACTATCCCATTATTACTGAGCATGTGATATAAAATATTGATTCCTATTACTAAGCATGTGATATAATATACTAATATTGATGTATAATAATTCAACTTCAAATGTATACTAATTTGATAGTAATGTCTTATTATAGATTTTGATAGTCTACATAGATGTTTCAATTGTAGTGATCTATATGATTTATTTATTAATCAGATAACACTATGAAGACATATGATTTAATAATAATATTTACTATTTTTTTATTTTTGAAATCCACACTTATTTATAGATTTCATTATTTTTGTATTGCACTATTTTATTGGCTTTTATACCAAACTAGGTTTCTATTTCACAGGCCAATTATTGTATGTGTTTTATTATTTTTGTATAGATTCATGATTATATTGAATGTTACTGTTATGAATTGACTGATGACATACATACTGCTTCTTTATCATGGTTTGAGTTCAGTTATAGGGTTTAGTGATTTGTTGGATTTTTTAGCTCATTATACTTGATTTAAATAATTTCATATTTAAAAAGAGGATTGAGAGTATGAGACTGATCATATACAATATTTCTCAGGTTTTAATTTTTTTTTCTTTTTATGTTTTATATTCTTTTGTACTAAGTGTGGAAAGAGTGATGTTGTATTTGTATGACTCATGTGTATTGTATATAATTTTAAAGTATGAAAATGAAAGTATATTAATGTTTTAATTAATAAATTTATTTATGTTAAAAGTTATACTATTCATAAAAGAAATTAGATAGGTCTAATTATTGCCATTATTAAAATATAAAAGAAATTTTATTTCAATTTAGATATGAGGAGTGACACCAATTATCCAAAGTAATAATGCCCTTATGATAAATTCTATTTTGTAGAAATATCATATGTAGTCATGCCTTCTTCTCATAATAGTTTAAGGTCATTGAACAAATGTTTCAACAACACATCTATCATTACTTTTAGATTATATGAGACTTGAATGATAAATTTAAGTAACATGTAGGGTGTTTTCATACATATTTCTAGTGGAAGATTGTAGATGGTGACTATCACTGATTAGCATGGATAAGGCAGTGTTGTCTGGCTAAATGCAGTAATTCCATTTGTGCATAATCTCAATCTTATATTTCTTGATTCTACGATAAAAGTAGGCTATGTAATCAAAGTACTTCCATGCCTCAGTTTTTGACATATGAGTTAAAACACATCATTGAGAGATAAGTTTGTTATGCCATCTCATGTTTGCAATAGAGCTCAATGATGGATATAGATGCTACAGTCTTGCAATGTGAGTAAATAAATTAATCGACTAACTGGCACATCATTCTATTATATATATATTTTTTAGGATTTTGTTTAATTTATGGAGCACTACAATGACGACATATATCTCTCACAAATAATCCTTGTATTAAACATACATAATTTATAATAATAATTTATTTTTGTAGCAATCAAACCCAATCTAGAAACTACTTTTTAACCATATATAAATCTGCTAAAATTATATTTTCTGCAAGAATGGTCTCCTTAAGCTGCTCAATAAATTGATTAAAATATTTACATGGAATATTATATTCAATCTTTATTCTCAACATTTTTACAACAACTGATAATTCTGAGTGAGTAGTGCACCATTCCAAATTGGTTGTTGTGTGTTACATAATAAATCATAAAAGTTTTGTGTTTCCCTATTTTGCGACTCTTCTATATATTGTCAAAATTATTGGACAATTGCATTATAAACTATATCTTCGTACATCTTAGTATTTTATTCCTTAACTATCTTGGAACTTGTTGGCGCATTAAGAGTTGAAATGCGACACATACTCGCTCTGTGAAGTCCAAAACTAATATTATGACATAAATCCTCTGTGATATAAATCAACGATAGCCTCTTCTAGTGGGAGGTATGCTTGGTTTTTATCATTTGAACAAGGACAACAAAACCCCATTTGATATAAAAGAATGTAGTATACATGCCACCTTGATGAAAAAATTGACTCCATTTATGAATTCATCCATTAATATCTTTCATCTATGCAACATTTGATTTTCTAATGGATCTATGAAATCCTCAGCCAAATGCTTCTTATATTTTTACATCCACCTTCTAAATCCTTATAACTTTACCTCACCTTAATGTACACTAACAACAAATGGGCAAACATCTCATACATACTCAATCTTTTAAGCTAAGCTATAATTCCTCTATCTCTCCTTCACGTCATTCGACATCTCTCACTCCATTTTTCTTATCTTTTTGTACCTCATTCCCAACCTTAACTCAATGAATGATTGAGTCAATAGCAAGTGCCTCCTCGCTCTTCTTTGTCTTCTCTCTCTCCTTATGACAAAAAATTATAAAAGATTGATAAGAGCATCAAATTTTACAATAACCTTATTTGATTATTCTCAAACCTAAGTTGACTACTCTTCAGCCTAAGTTGACAATTGATGAATTACGACAAGAAATTGTAATTCATGACATTTAAAAAACAAACTGAAGGTGATCTCTCAATCTTGGCAATGAGATCATTAACCTAAAATTGACTAACCATTTTTGGAAGGCACCCTCAATTCTGTATGTGACACTAACATTATAATACCTCTCTATATATAATTATATGAGATAACTACATACATATTAAAATAGCTCAAATGAATCAATTCCAAAAGAGACAATAAGAGAAAAAAAAAACAAAGCATGATCAATTTGAATTTGAATCATGATTGAACCATAATGAGCAATAATCAGATAATATTCAAATCATGATTAAATCATATTCGAATATGATCAAATCATCCTCAAAGCCCTTTCAAACTATCTCCAATTCATGATGGAAAGCTATGTGAATCATATTCGAATATTATTTTAACCTCATTTGAAACTTCGAATAAGGTTTTATCATAGTTCAAAGATTATTCTAAATTCGATCATAATTCTGTGATTGTTCTAAGATGAACAAAAGATAATGCTAATTTATACATAACAAATACTATGATGTCAAATGGCATTCTAGTTTTAAACTTTAGAATACATACATCATATTCAAACATATAGCATCACTAATCTTACACAGAAGAAGAATGAAAAGACCATCATTAATCTTACACAGAAGAAGAATGAAAAGACCATCATTGTAAAACTTTATCATAGCACAAACACATACGGGCAGTGGTCCAACGACAGTCGGGTTGAAACCCGACGATGGTCGATGACAAGGCGATGATCTGAAGATGGACGGGGTGAAGTCCGCTGCGGTCGGCGGGCGGGTGGAAGCCTGACAGCTGTCGTCGGGCGAGCGATGGTGCTGGAACTCTTGAAGCTTCAAAGCTTTCTCCAATCTCTAGCCAAATAAACCCTTCATATAGAGAGTGAGGGTCTATTTATGTATTTTCATGAGTGGCATACCCCATAAATATAGAGAAGATCTAGGGCAGGTTCGGAGTACTCCATGAGATGGCTTGCATTTATTCCCCCAATCATAGAGAGTCTTTCAACTATTTAAGTGCCTTAACAATATCGGAATTCAGCGATCTTGGACTCGTTGGATTCTTCTCGTCGAGTCGCTCGATTTGATTATAAGCATGTCATATTTAGATATCATTTTGTCATCCAAATAATGTTTTGATCCTTCCAAATGTAGTTCAACCCCACGATTTGGACCCTTTGGGCCCGGGTTGGACCGATTTTGGTGTTGTTAAGTTTGTCTCTTTGAGACATTTAATTTGACTATAAGTTTCCTGAAATTAGAATTCAGATGATCCTGAATTTAATTTTAAAAATTTCTAATTTAAATATGCCTCGAGATTTGTGCTCTATCAAAGTAATTTTTGATGACGTATCAATTATTATTATTATTAGATTTCAAGTAATGTTTTGCAACTCATTTTATTTTACACCAACACTTAAAATCAGTTTGCCTTTTCTTATAAAAATTGTATTGATTATTCACAACATTAGCTTTGGGCAGCTGCATTCATAACAATTGAACTCTTTAATACAACTTCTAAATAATCAAAACAAAAGAGGAGTAAAACGAAAGAATTCAACCTAAAATATACAAATATATGACTACAAATAAATAGCACGAAAAATAGCACAACGATCCACCTCACATCTCCTGCGCCGTCGAAATGCCTAAAAACCTTCCGGAGATCGCGGCGGCAATCACCGCCGTGAAGTTTGAATCCTTTGTCAGCGATGAGGCCATGTCCTTCACAAGCCTTTCCCTCAGCTCTGGTTGCCGGGCTTCTTCTCTTTCCCCCCTACTATCCTTCGTCTCCGGAGCTCCGGAAGCTCCAACGCCATCCGCCGTGCCGGCGGTTTTCCGGCTTACAGCGTTTTCGACTTCAGCCGCAGACGACTGGTAGTGGTTGTGCTCGCCTTCGTAAGTGGCCACGAGTAAGCACTGATCATCGGCACTTCTCTGCACCTGGTTCAGCGAATCCAATTTAATACAATCAGTAACTGAACTCAAGCAGAATTTTCAGCTAGAACTCAAAAAAATTATAACTTTTTCCAGTTAGAATAGAGAGCATGATTGAAATTTGCATATTTGGAGTATACAATGAGCATAAGGAAGTGAATGAGTGATAAAATTAAAAGAATAAATTAAGAAATGATGAAGGTGTTGACTTTTTGCTCTGAAATCTGTACCTTTTTCTTAACAGGGCAAGTAGGAGCAAACGAGCATCTGAAATAAGCTCTCGGACATGGATTATCCCTTGTAACCTTCTGCCCATACTTCCTCCATTGATATCCATCTCTCACCACCTACACAGATCCCCAACAATCTAAACCCATTTCCAAAAAAAAATTAAAAATAAATAATTTAGCGAACATACCAGGCTTGAATCAGATGGATCAGTGCGAGCGTACAGCTTCCAGATCTTCGGCTTAGATCCTTCCTCCTTCGCCTTCTTGCACGAGTTCGCGCTCGAAACGCTGTTCGCGGCATCGCCGGCGCTCTCAGTACTCTTACGCTTCGCCGACGGCGGCGAACTGGATCGCGCTCCCTCTGACGATGCTACCGCAGCGGTGGGGCCGATCATGTCTATCAGCTGAGCTCGAAGTGCGTCGTAGCTCTCGCACATGGTGGCGAGCATCGATGTAAGCTTCATGTTCTCCTCTGTAACACGCTTGAGCTCCTCCTGCAAGCACGGAGGAGGGCTCGGCTCTTGCAGAATGCTCTGCTTTGCGATGCCGATGGTGAGGTCGAGGCTGAGGGAATGGGATTCCATGATCAAGGCTCGAGCTTTTTGTTAGTGGGATCAAGGGAAGGAGATGGGTTAAGGATATATAGAGTTGAGAAGACTGGCAAGAAAAATTAAGATTTTGTTTTCAGGGGTATGTTTCTGTTTCTTTTGGCTTTTTTGGGGGGATATGGGGAGGTGGAAGAGAAAGCAGGAAGGAAGAAAGGACAGAGATTGAGGGAATGGAAGAAGACGCGAAGGTTATTGGTCTTTTAAAGGAGGCGCTTTGAATTCTCGGTCAAGGGCTGTGTTCTAACGGAGGAGACGAGAAGGTACGGAGAGGAAAAAAAAGAGGTTAGAGGGGAGAGCGTAGAAGTATCCTTGACTTAGCTGTTTCTGGGCCGGCATGCTTGCGAGTTTTCTTTCTCCTTTCTTTTGTTTAGTGGGTGAGGTGAGTTAGTGCATCCAAAGCGTGTGCTTTTGGAATAATTATTAGGCCAGGTGATCTGATGTAGTTCTACGTTCAGATGTCAATAACATGTCATCACGTGCTCTTATTTATTACCGCGCGGCCCAACGACTTGACCCAGATCGGAACCCGGGATTGCTATGTTCGCGTATTGCTAGGTATTGCTTGACAATAATGAAAAATATCGCTCTGTAACACAAATACAGAGCAATACCGAGCAATACCGAAACTCGGTATTGTTCGGTATTGGTCTTCACATAATAGTATTTATCGTTATTGCCGAGCAAAATCGACCAATACCGAGCAATACCGAGTAATACCTGGCAATACGCGAACATAGCAATCTGGGGCCGTTCTGGGTCGGGTTGTCAGGCCGCGTGATAAAGAGTAAGAACACGTAGAACTATTTTACTGACGTCCGAACGTAGAACTACGTCAGACCACCTGACCAAATAAAAGTTTGTGCTTTTGAGTAATAGATCTAACCTGTTTGGCACATAAAGCATGGTCAACAACTTCATAAGCATGGTGAGGGCACAAAAAAGTTAAAATAATAATAATTGTTATGTACTAAAAATCATTACTATTATGTGACATATTTTTAATGATAAAAGTACTATAACATTTATGGTGAAAGAATTTTTGATATGAATATTGCATATAACAAGTATAAAGTAAATAGAGAAATTAAATTTTTATGTGAAGATAGGGGAAGAAAAAAATCATGGGACTTAATATAATTAAAGTAATCCACCAATGAGAGTCAAATATTATAAATATAATCATTTTCTTAAATTATATAGAATAAATAATATAATAGGCATGATCTGTGGAATATATCTACTTAATGATAATAAGAGTCTTAAGGTGATTAAGTTGTCATTAGGAGTTTGGTTGGACATAGGGAGATTAAGAAAATGGGTATCAAGCATCATGGCTGAAGCACATCAAGCATCAATAGATAATGAGAATCATGACTCAGTGGATAGAAACACTTGTGATTGACGAGGTTTAGACAAGCAATCTAGAATGTCAAAAGTTAGATTGCATGGGAAAATTGACTTGATTACTTTTCTTATAAGGGGAGACTAAGTAGCAAGAAATATGGGCATTAGATATTCCTGGCTAATGGATGTTGGTCATTGATAAGCATCATTGTAAGTCAGCTTATGCTAGGAAGTTTGCTTAACTAGTCTTCTTATAAGAGAGGTAATCAAGCAACTAAAATGATGGGCATCAAGCATCGACGATGATAGGTATCTGGTAATGGTCGACATGGAATATTAGTCATACACTCCTTATAATAAAAGAGACATGACAATTGGGAAGATATGCAACAAACATCAATGGCTAACGAGCATCAAGCATTAGTCATTTGCAACTATTGTGGGGTGATTAGACAAGAATGCTGGAGGTTGAGTGATTTCAGGAATCAACATGGTTAGACGTTGGATGATTGTGAAGGCTTGTATTTGGCATTAGTGAATGATGGACTTCAAATGTAAGTCATTGGCATGTATCTATTAATGAGCAATGAAAATGTTGGAGTAATGGGGATTGATCAACTTGGTCAGTTTTCTAAATGACTAGAGAAGATGATTAAAAAGGTTTGTGTTGGATGTTAGAGGTTTGCATGCATTGGATATTAGTAGTTGGCTAACATTGATCAATAGTTGACCAAGAATATTGAAGGTGAAGCTATAATGGGTGGTTATTTCGATCTTTTTTCCTTATAACAAAGGGAATAAAAAATCAAGATATGTAAGTTAATTATTAATGATTGAGGGGCCTCATATGTCAAACAAAAATCAATTATCTTAATCATTCTCCTTATAAGGTCCACCAAGATGATCGTCAGAATATGCATTAGATATCAAAGATTGATTGACAATGAATATTAGTTGTTAATAAACATTGTGCTATAATCACCAAAGAAAATCATATAAAGGGTGGCATTGGACATTTTGTGTGTTTCCTCTCCCCATAGGAGTGGAGATTATGTGGCTTAGAAGTTGGGCATCATGCCTTAGTGGTTGACCTATGGAGGTTATTGTTAGGCATTTGGCGATAGTTAAAGAGAAAAATTAGAGGTTGGGCAATTGGCTTGATCAAAGATTAATTAAGCAGCTAAGAAGATTAAGATCGAGATTAGGTAGTTAATGGGCGTTAGATGTATATGGTTGGTAATCATTATACGATGATTAATGAGGAATGACAAATATTTAGTAACATTTGGTGGTCGGCTTGGTTGCAGTCATCATAGGATAGGAGATTAGTTTACCAAGAAATCTTAAGTCAAACATCGACATATATCAAGCATCAATAATTGATATATGTTTAGAGATAATTGATAGACCCAATATGAAAGTATTGATGATAGTGTTATATTTGTCAATATGTTAGTTATGATGATGGGTGTCGATATTGGTAGTGGTATAAGTCAATAATGGAGGGTAGAGCTAGAAGTTCTAATAGTCCTATAAGCCATTCAACCAAAAACCTTCATTGAATGTAAAAATATAACATGGTTATAAATTTAGAGAATATCCTATCAATTCTATAAGAAATTAATACACTCCATTAGAAAATCTAAATTAATTATCATATGCATAACCACTCCCTTGATGTCAATAAGGACAACCTCTTGGGGATGTGACTCAATTGATTTCCCCTCAATCATAATTTTACTTACAAGCAAAGTTCGAACATCCTTTAAGATAAACATTATTTAACTATTCATCCAAAATTTTTCAAAAAATATCATAATTACTTTTAAAGGCCTCTTTGGGGTTTAAAGTGCCAAAGCTGAATTCATAACTAACATGAGACATCAAAACAAAAGATTTATGATGATGAATCTTTGGTTTTCCCCCAAAAAAAGATCATTTACTTGTTTGAGGTTTATAATTCTTAAGAGGTTGTAACTGTCATAAGCCTACCTGATAAGACCCATAGACTAAATAGGTCCTATCATGTTGAGTTATAACAGGTGAATTATAGGATCTAAGTTTTTGAAAGTTTCAAAAATCTTCTTAAAAATAATAATAAACACATAGTTGCTAATAAAATTCAATATTGAAAATAAACTTATATAGAAGATTTATTTTTCATTTATTATTAAAAATACATATACAATCATAGTGCATGATTATAAATAAAAACTACATGATAGAGTAATAAAAACTAAACATGAACGTGCAAAAAAAAAAAAAAAAAACTGCAAACTTAGATTAGATTTTTGAAACCATTGGTAAATAGATTCTTTCTCTTTCCCAAACCTCGAAAATAGATGGTAAAATAATGGTGAGCTAAAACAGCTTAGCAGGCTATAAATAATGATATGAATTTCAAATATTTTTTTATTATTATTTTTTTGAATTATTAAATGTAATATAACAATTCAATGTGCTGAGCAGAGTAATAATAGCATAATAGTTATCCAAAGATTTGAATAACAATACTGAGTAGTTAAACAAACTGAAGTTTCAAAATGAAATTAATTTTATAGAACATAATATAATAGATTTCTTTGATACTAAACAGAATCTAAAGATTATATCCCCTTATAACTCCCATCAAAATTTTCTCTTTTTCAGACACAATCCAAAATTATGACTCTCAATAGAATGAATTTTAGAGAGTTTCATATTCTCGACATTAGACATAACCTAAAGGATTTTAGTTCCTTATATCTCCTAACAGATATTTTTCATATCAGAACTCATATAATTAAATCCATTAAACAGATAATTCATTGCAATATAATAATTAAAGTATTAAGTAACCCGATGAAAAATTCCCAACTTTCTATTTCAATTCAACTTGATAAGACCCACTAATAGGATAGGTCCTATCATATTAAGTTGTAATAAGTCAATCTAATAATCTAAGTTTAAAAAGTTTTCAGAAATCTTCTTCCATTTCAATCTAAAAATAATAATAAACACCAAGCTGCTAATAATATTTCGTACTAAAAATAAACTTATCTAGGATATTTGTTTTCATTTATGATTAAAAATGCATATTTAATCACATGGCATGGCTATAAATAAAAAATATAACTCAAAGTAATAAAAACTAGCCATAAATGTGAAAAAATTAAAAGAAATACCTACAAACTCATATCAAATTCTTGAAACTATTATTTAACTGGCTCTTTCACTTTACCAGATCCTAAAAATAGAATACAAATTAACGGTGAGCTAAAATAGCTCAGTAGGCCATAAATACTTAATCGTTCTTCGTATAAGGGCCACCAAGATGATCGTGAGAACATGCATTAGACATCAAATATTTATGGACAATGAATATTGGTTATTAAAAAGTTTTGTTCAATAATCATTAAAGAAAATAAAAGAAAGGGTGTCATTGGACATTTTGTGTGGTTCCTCTCCCTATAGGAGTGGAAATTATGTGGCTTAGAAGTTGGGCATCATGCCTTTATGTTTGACATATGTAGGTTATTGGTAGGCATTTGGCGATAGCTAAGCAGGAACATTAGAAATTGGGCAAAGATTGGGTAGCTAAGAAGATGAACATCATGGTTAAGTAGTTAATGAGTGTTATATGTATATGGTTGGTAGTCATTATATGGTGATTAATGAGGAATATAAAATATTAAGCAGCATTGGTGGTTGGCTTGGTTGCACTCCTAATAAGATGGGAGTTAATTGACCAAGAAATATTAAGCCAAACATCAAAATATATCAACATCAATATTTGATATATATTTAGAGATATTTGATAGACCCAATATGAAAGTGGTGATAATGGCATTGATATTACTCAATATATAAGCTGTGATGATGGGTGTCGACATTGATCGTGGTAGAGTCAATGATGACTAGTGGAGCTAGGAATTTTGATAGCCCTATAAGTCTTTCCACCAAAAACCATTATTAAATATAGAAATATAACATTTTAATAA